ATAATTCAGACTCTTTTGACGTGTCAGTGACATTGCTGAGGGGTGTGTGCTCACTTCTGCTGCATACTGTACAGATTTAAGACCCCATTTTAAAAACAGATCTTCAGCAGCAACAGGAGAACTGAGCATGACAGACTGATTTTAGTCTTTCCAAGGGATTTGTTGACAGTAACCAAAACACACAATTTCCCAGCCTTATCTTTAAAGGCACCACGCCAGTGTGTTGATGAGCAGCCATCTGTTTTGTTTGCATCTCCTCCTCTGCTCGCACAAGGACACACAAACCAAGAAGAAAGGGGATCCTGTGCATTCAACATGTTTGTGTAGCCTCAAGGACACGCATGGTGCATGGCGCTGAGGAACGGTGAAGGTAAACAGCTTTGTTGTTGAACAGAAAACTCTCCACGTTGCACTCTTCAGCACTTTTACACTCTGAAAATTTAATCTTTATACGAAATACAACGCAGTTCAATGAGGCTGTTGTGGGAACGGACAACTGGAGCATCGGGGGAAGGACGTGAGTGGATGACCCGGCTGTAGAGAAGGTGAAGAACGGACACGTTACCCCTCACATGCAGGTAATCGCTGTTTGTGTCCCAGTGATGCTCTCTGTTCTAAAGCCTGAAGGTGTGAACAGGAAGTGGACCAGTGTGTGACTCTTTAAAGACGTGCCCTTGGCAGCATGTAGCACAGAACAAACTCTCTCTGGCCCAGTTGACTGAGACACTGACCGACTTTCCCTGCTTGACAGCTATTGGCAGGCGGAGATGGAAACTACCAGCACGCTGTTGCCTTCCAACACGTGCACACGCAGACCGGCCGGTGCACACGGACACACCAGCACGGTGTGAAACTGGGGCTAACGCTCTGCTGCCTTCTCTGGAGGCGCTGTTAGGTGGACGGTATGTCACTGATGCAGCGGTGAGCATTAACACCTCTGGACAGAAACACAGACAAATAAAACAGATCCTCTCCTGGGCAGCTGATGTACAGGCTACACACATCTAAAGGAGAAGGAGTGTGTGGGCGGGATGGGCAGCGCTCCCATCGCTCTGCCGGTTTCCTTCTAGGAGCCCGTGGTCTCATTCACAGCCATGGAGGAGCCCCGGGGCGGAGGCAGGATAAAATAAGACATCCCTCAGTGCGCCAGGCTGATTTATCCATGTAAGGTGACTCACTCAGACCGCCCTGCAGCCACACCTTCACCAGCTACAGGACTGGAGCTCCTCAGTAACGTCTGAAACTCAGCCGCAGAAACAATAACTCAGAGTCCAATTCAGCCCAGGTTCTGGACTCCAATACTTCTTTGTCTACTTTTCACCACTTTCTAAAATGAAGACTTAAAAATAACGATTGCATCTCAGCCTTTAAATCTTCACGTCACTCCTTCCTGAGTGTCTGTTCTTTAGTTTTTACAGCAGCGGTTAAATGTTGAAGTGCTCTTTTGCTTTTCAGATGCAGTGTGGGAGGTCACGCTGAGCCATCTCTCCACCAGTTTTCTCATCAGATTTCACCATTTCAGTGTGTGTGCACGTAAAGACGGGACACCAGTAAGAACGTACCCAATGACAGCGAAGGCAGGAAGCTCCTGGAGGTCAAAGGGAAAGTCTAGCCGGAAACGGGTTTTAAAAAGTGCTGTGATGGTCTCTGGAGAAACAAAAAAAAGCACATGAACAGTTAGAAAAGCTGCATTAATGTTAGTCAGACAAACATCAAAACCAATATGATCAGAGCTTCGTACCAGAGCTCACACCCCGTCGCTGGTGGACGGTAACGAGCGAGAAGTGAACCAACATACCAACTCAATGTGAAGGTTCGGACCAGAACTAACTGACGGCTGCAAACAGCTGGTTGGAGAAAACTCCATCATAAAACCTTTCACTGTTTCTCTCTAACGAGGCACCGGGAATCCTGAGGAAGCCGTCTGATTGGCTGTGAGCATGAATAAAACTCTTGTTAGTTTCCTGCTACAGTCGGAACAAATTCCCAATCCGAGCACCGGCAGCGCAACACCTCCTCCGTTATTGGTGCTCTGCTGGTTTCATGCATCACGTCGGCTCACACGTCTTCCACCTTCGCTGAGCAGCAGAACATTCGGACTTGTTATATGAAGGAAAGCACACGTGTTACCGGGACACTGGGACAGACTGGTCTCATCGTTAGTGTCGGTGGTGAGGCGTGCTCTGCTCGCTGTGGGAGGTCTGCAGCGCGCCTCGCTTGTTATTTAAGATTAGATCTGTCGACTCAGTCATTCATGAGCTACACCAGAGTTTGTAACTTTAACAAGGTAAGTCTGAACTTCTTCACTACATGCTAACCGTCTATGATCCAGGCTTTAACAATCAACACTGCTGCACTGACTCTTCAGTAAAGGTTTAAGGTCTTATGGTCCCTGTTCCTCTTGTTTTGTTGATGGTGCACAGATTTCTCTACAAAACACACAAACTCCTGATGATCAAAAGCCTTCCTGTGCTATGTTTAGAGGTGCAACAGTCCATGTGTTCATCCTAAACTATTTGGTTTCAGATGCTTGGATCAGTACATCCAACCAGTGACCGTCACAACTTGCAGTGAAAACGTAGAGCGCCAGCTTCACTTGGAGAGCGACGTTTGGTGTCTATCAGATATAGCATGCTAGCAGGGTCGCTTCATTTATCTTGTACAATGTGTTAAAGGTGAAGTCTGTAAAATTATTGATATTGAGCAAGTTAGCATGTTTATATCAGGGCTGGAACTTTAACATGTTAATTACAATTAATTTTAAAAAATAACACGTTTAAAAAGAAATAACACATTTAGTTGCACCTTTCTCAGCTCCCTGATGTCTGACACACCGCTAACACTGATGCGCATACTCCAGCTGGTAGGTAGTGGTTCTGCACCTAGAGTTGGTTTTTCAGCCACGATGAAGATGCACTGAGAGACGTCAGCGCACAAGAAAGTTTAGTGAACAGCGACGGAAGACGAGACCGCATCGCTCGACTTGTTTTTCTCATCCAGCCTGATGCCAATTGGCCAAAACTTGAATAAACTTTAAGTCAAGTCTAGCTTCTTAGCAGACAGATGAAAAATGTTTGTAGTTTAAGTTCATGTACGTCTACTCATTGATTCAGCCGTCAACCAAAATCTATTTGAATTGAAAAACTTTTCTAATTGTGTCAAATATTGCTATTTTAGAACAATTTGATTAATCACGATTAATTATAAAACCTCTAATTAATCAGATTTTTTTTTTTTTTTTAATCTCATCCCACCACAAATTTGAACAGCAGATTTACTGGCCCTCCTGCTCTCCTGTAGCGTACACCAGCATGAACATGTACAGGACATGCTGAAGTGGATCAGTCTGAGGCACTTCTGTTCACATTTACTGTCAGGACCGTTCACCAGCGCTGGACTGTTTTCATCGCCCACACGCCCCACTGGCTGTTTAAAACCTCTGCTACAGTAAGAACCACGGCCGATCAGAGAGTCCTAACAGCTCACATTGTTCAAATAAATACCAAGTACACTGGACTCGCTGCTGCTTGTGCTGATCAGGTTTTCTTTTTGTTGAAATATTGCTGAAGAAAGAGTATGAATGAGTTCAACTTATAACATTTCCTTTTCCATTTTTTGATTGTATTTAACTGAAAGCATTATATGAAAAGTCAGGATGCGTCTCTCGTTATGTTCGGAAACAGTTTGGTGCTTAAATTTTCTTCTTTAAATGACCTTTATTGAAATGAACGTCCTAGATGCTCATCCAACACGTCACTGGGATCACTGTGCAGTTTAGTGTAGATCAGCAGAACAGTTCTGCCAACAACACTTGTGCATCTCCAGTTTAGGTTGAAGCTGGCAGGTGTTAACTCCTCATGGGTGAACTGCACATTTCATCACATTGTGTAGATGTTCCTAATGAAGCGCTCGGTGCCCGTATGCAGCGTGTTCAAGCCTCACCTTCGTCTCTGTTCCAGACAGCCAGCACTCTGAAGATGAAGGCACTGAAGGTGGCTGCGAAGAAACCTCTCCAATAGTTCCTCACCGCAAAGAAGGTGGACGTTACTTCAATGCTGAACAACACACCTGGAACACACACGGCAGCCCCATGTGAACACACAAACGTTTTACAGAGTCCTGTGGACTACGTCAGGGTTCAGGTGGGGGTCAGCGGCTGGGAGTGCTTCGGTTTCTTTTTTAGTTCAGCATTAGATGAAGACGGACTGAGCCGTGACAGAACCGTAGAGAACAACCACCAGCCAAACAAACTGCTGGATCTAAATATAACAGCAGATGATACGAGGTGTACAGGAAGAGATATTAGCTTCACTAACACATCCCATGTGAAGCATCACTGAAATTGCGCCATCAGTTTCAGTGACAAAACCCCCGTTATGTGTTGTGCTGTAAGGAGTGGAGCTCACAGCGCCTTTACACCTCCGCTTTATTACACCATGTGACAGACTGATGCTACGATGTTGTTCTTTTCTGGCGACTCACCTCCGATGGGGGCAGCGAAGCAGCAGCCCACTCCCACGGCACAGGCAGCCGCCAGCATCTCGATGTTCCTCGACTCATTCTGAAACACAAACACACACACAGAGCAGCGGTTACACCTCCATCAGTCTGTAGCATCTAAACACCTCAGAATGAATGAAGCGGTGGGATGAAAACACGTTAAACACTCCACCTATTTGGCATTTAGAAGTAATACACAGATACTTAATAGAAGGATTTATGATCTACTGAACTGTAGCTGGAAGCAGATAGAACTTATTGCAAGTCAACAACTTTAAAACCACATCTTATGTGACAACGGCTGCTTGTGTGTGTTGGTCCGAGAGGTTCTAGTTGTTTCACAAACAAATTAATAAGCATTTAAATCTGCTTACAACCACCTCTCAGTCTATTAAAAACCAGCATTTAAATGTGGATTACAGCTGCCAAACAGGAGGCTGTAAAGTGTCACCCATAAAAAATAAACAATAACCTGATGAACACACAAAAACAACACAAGAACCTTCATGTTTTCCATCTACACAAGACTCAGCCGATGGATCTCTGGTCAGATGATGTGAAACACAATGAGCCAGACGGGAGAGAAACAAATGATGACGCTGAGCTACATGACTGCAGGGCGGCGGATCAAGGTGCATCATGGGAAACGGATCTGTCTGATATTACTCACCTTCATTCCTATGAGGCCGATGTCCTTCAAGCAGCACAGTGGTGGTAAAGAACAGTTAGTGTGTGTTTCCCTCCCTGTGGTTTATCTACATGCTGCTCATTCAGAGCTCACGATGCAAAACATGCTCGTCTTCAATGGTTTGTTTTGTTTAAATAGTTTCTCCACAACTCAAATCTTCCTCCAAGATGTTTGTTGGATAAAATCTTTAGTGAGCTGGAACACGTCCGTCTTTCAGCCATGTTTCTATGAATTAAAGTTGTTTTTGGTTTTTGTTTTTGTTTTTAATCAAGTTCAGGAGTTGGAGAAATGAAGCAACGTGCAACAAGCAAAGCATCTGAATACTTTTGCATAAAAGAGATTTTGATTCTTGAAAAAACTACAAAAACGTATTTAGAAAAAAAAACTGTGGACTGTTGGGTGTAAACTGACGGGAAAAATTCACGTTATAACGGCTTAAAATTAAAAAGGTATAAGATTTTCTGAAGCGACTGTACCGTAATGTCTGGACTAGAAGCTGCTACTTTATTCACACGCTTTGAACGCTGCAGCTTAAACAACGATGCGGCTAATTTAAGGATTTTTACGATTTTGCATCGAGACCAAAGTGACGCTGAGAGCGACGACGACAGAGAGACTGAGGAAGTGATGAAGTGATTCTGAGGCTGTTCAGCTCCTGAAGACACTGAAGAAGACGACTTTAGTGGTTTTAGTGCAGGAGGAAGATGAAGATAGCCATCAGTGACTTTTCCTGGTAGCTGCTGGAGTTTTATTTCCTTAACCAGCCGTGTTACAGGAACTGTTCAGAAAAAAGCCTCTACGGTACGTATCTGTGGATGTTACCGCTACGCATTTAATTAAAGGTTAAAACATCTTTCTGTGGGAATATCTCATGTTCCAACGTGGACACCTGCAGCCTGGATATGAACACACCTGGTTTATTTTTAAAGTCAGTGGGTGGGGCTTATATTCAGGTGCCTCTATAGTCTGGATATTACGGTACTTTGAACCCAAATGCAGATTTCACTCAGTGAGCATCAAACAGGCTTCGATGAGAAAAGCTCATTAAGGACAGCACATCTATACCAGCTTGGTTTTTGCTTGTTCTTCTTTTTTTCTTTATTGAACATCTTATTGAATATCATCTGATTCTGCCCGACAGACTATTTTGAAGGGGAACAACCAGGAAACACGTTCTTTAAAGGGGTACCGTGTAAATCAGTCTCACAGGATTTCAGCAGTGGAGAAGGAGGAGCGATGACTGGGGAGCATGCTGGGAGTTGAATTACCTTAATCCCTACAAGGCCGGGCTCCTTTCAGTAGCATGGGAGTAAGACACAAAGTTAAGCTCACCAGGAACAAACGATGGAGAACAACTGTTTTCTTGCTGCTGTGTGGTTCTAAGACTCAGCAGCTTCACTAACAAAGTTGTTTAAGCATCAAAATTTGCACTCAATCAGCTGACATTCAGAGATCTGACAAGGAAAAAACAAAACATGATTTGCAATTATATCTGCTCGAAGGTCAGGCCTCTTCAAACGGTGGCATTCTCCATGTGCATGTGGGATACTACTCATCCCTGTTGGTGGAAAAAGGACAGCACTCGCAAACAAAGAGCTGCTCTCTACAGCCCACAGGCTGCATTAGCATACTGTACTCCAAACTCCAGAGAGGACCGGATACTGCTGCAGAGGGACACTTCACACACTCACGCACACACTCGCCATTAATATGCCATAAAATGCAGCAAAACACTGAGAAGGGAGGGCAGAGCGGCAGAGAGCAGCAGCAGGTTACACAGAGACAGTAACGAGGATGATGATGAGGATGATGATTACAGAAAAGACCGATAGATGGACGGAAAATGTAAAGAGAGAGGGATGAAGGACAGAACATGTTGAACATATCCTGCATAAAAGAGATTAAAGTTGGTCTGTGGATGTACAGAAGCCTCTAGTTTAGAATTATATCCTGATTTCTGAAACCGGACAGTGAGTGGTGGATCTGACCTGTCAATCACAAGGTAGCCCCGCCCTCAAACACACCCGACTTTATCAGCGTTTTGAGGTGACGAAGACGCAGGTTAACTGTCCAG